GTCGCTGGTTCGAACCTCGGCTCAGTTGGTGTTTCTGTGTGGAGTTTGCATGTTCTCCCTGCCTTCGCGTGGGTTTTCTCCGGGTGCTCCAGAGAATTTTGGACTGTCAGTAACGGGGTGGGTCTTTCGAATCACCCGAACCCCCCTGGCTACGGGCCTGTGTTTACATGCAGTTTGTGCAGGGATGTGTAAATATAACTTTCTGTAGTGCATTTTAGTGATCTTCCTATATTCGTTTGTTCAGTCCTTTCAACCTTCCTTCCATTGTTTGTTCCTTTCTTCATTCATTTGTTCCTCCCTTCATTCGTCTGCTCATTCATTCATTTGTTCATATTTTTGTTCCTTCCTTCATTAGGTCCTTTATTCATTCATTAATTCGTTCCTTCCTTAGTTTGTTCAGTCAATCTTTGAGCCCTTTCTTCATTCATTTGGTCCTTCCTTACTTCATTAGTTCCACTCTTCCTTCCTTTGTTCTGTTCTTCCTTATATTCCTTATTTGTTCCATTTAATGATTGTTAAAAGGCTGTTTGGTGATTTCAGTCATCATACAGTCCCATCCTTCATTTTTTCATCCGTGACATACAGTCTATAAAAAGTCTCCAGATTACTGAGTGTAAAGATTTTGGACATCTTCCTGGGCATTTTTAATGCTTCTAAAAGATTTGCTGCATTTATAAATGCCCATGTCTTGAGGTAGTTCAGTTTGGTGCAGTTTACTTTCTATGTGTAATTTGATTGGACGGGAATCGCTGGACTGCTTTTTCTACTTTAGCCAATCACCATAGACAAAAAGTAGTGACTGCAGTTTAAAGGAAAGTAGTGGAATAAAAGTACCTATACAGCACTAAAAATACTCAAGGGAAAGTAAAAGTATATTTAAAATTACTTAGTAAATTACAATTCCTGAGAAAAACTAATCAGTTACAGTAATTTGAGTATTTGTTATTTGTTACTTTACACCGTTTACTGTATATTCTCCATTGCTCATATGTGCAGTCTTTCCTCTACTGCATTGTCACAAGAGATGGCGCTAAGGGGTGGGCAGAGACGTAAAGAGGTTGGATTTTTAGCAGACAGAGATGAAAGAGTTCCAGGTGCTCAAGCAAAATAGAGACAATGCAACTACATGGCAGAGCATTCTGCTCAGCTCACTTCTCATCTCTTGTTTTCTCTCTCTGTGGACTCAAAGTCCTATTTTTGGGCACTACGCTGGACGCCTATGGCTCTTTGTATGCCTCTGGGCAGCAGCCAAGATCTCCTTGGTGTGTCTGTTCTGGTTTAGAACGCTGCTGTCCCCAGGGGCCCTCTGACATCAGCCAACATCCCTGCCAACTAAAAGCGGCTCCACAATTCACTCCAATCAATCTCAAACTAGACACAGCAGACCGATCTATAGCTGAGGCTTCTGGGTGGGGTTGGCAGGGTCTTGAGCTGGTTTGAACTATAAACTGAGATCGAATTCAGAAAGCATGCACCTAACACAAGTATTACGTAACTTTATCAAGAATTAATGATCACAGGGTATTCAGTAGCGAGAGAAAAGACCTTGAGAAAACTTGTTCAATTTTAATTTACTTTAAGAGCTAGCAGCAATTTAAAGAATGATAATTTTCCATTACACACTTTTCTGTGTAGTTTTATACAGTATGAAAAGACACAAATTTGATAGAGGCGTGATGGACACTGCTCATTTGTATAAAATTGTCCTATCGTTGTCATATTGTTGAACACGTCTACATTGCACCACCAACTGCAGCCGTCACTGATGTTGCTTTGGTCATTAACTTACAATTGCAATCAGTCAGAGGTAACAGGCATTTACAGTAGCTTGGGCAACCTGACAAAAATGTTGTTTTTTTGTTTGGTTGGAATTTTTAGAAAGCAGTGGCTTGGTGGCTCAGTGGTTAGTACTGTCGCCTCACAGCAAGAATGCCACTGGCTCAAGGCGCTGCTGGGCTAAGAGGTATTTATATTTGCATGTTCTCCCCATCTCTGCTCTGGTTTTCCCCATAGTCTTAGAGTGTTTTCACACCTGCCTTATTTAGTTTGGTTGAATTGCACCAGAGTTTATTTTCCCTCTTGGTGCGGTTCGTTTGACCAGGTGTGAATGTAGCAATCGTACTTGAGTACGCACCAAAAAAGCACACTGTGACCTCCTTGAAGAGTTGGTATCAGTACGCTTTCAAATGAACCCTGCAGCGGTTGGTTTTAGGTGAGAATATGATCCAGACTAGAACAAATCCAACCGCAAAAAGTACTGTGCCTTTTTGGATTAATCCAGCTGCTGTAGTCTGATGCACTGTGCATTATTGGATGTGGAGGAAAAATATTTGTTGACAGCGCTTTACCAACAATTTCAAACAGAGAGAGAGAGAGAGAGAGAGAGAGAGAGAGAGAGGGAAAAACATTACCTAATGGATCATTAGTAATATTTCCAGAAGATGATCATGTCGCCTCCTCCTGAAGTGACTTGCGCCTTCGCCTTTCGTAATGCATTAAAACATTGATTCCAGCCACAGCCGTGCTTCATTCTCAAAATGTAGTTTGTCTAAAGAGATGTATATAAACTATATAGTATACTATGATCAGGGATACAATAAGCCAGCGCAATCGAAAAGCAGTTTAGGAAATGTGTTCCAATAACATCTGGCCAATGAGTGATGTGGATTTTGTCACATGACTGCATTTTGGATCTTGTCAACTAATTCGGACCAAAGCAATCAGTGTGGTGTGAAAAGGATCCAATAACAGCAGAAAAATGCCACAATGTATCATTTGTTGCCCTTGGTCTGGACCAAATTAACTGAACCACAGATAACCCTAAAGAAATACAGTAGACTCGACAATAGGTGAATTGGATAGGCTAAATTGGCAATAGTGTATTGGATAAACAAAATTGGCCGTAGTGTATGGGTGTTTCTCAGCACTCGGGGTTCACGAGTTAGTGTACGAAGTGTTGCGGCAATAAGGGTATCTACCATATAAAAACATATTCCAGAGTAATTGGCAGTTCATTCTGCTGTCGCGAACCCTTATATATCAAGGATTAAGTTGAGTGACTACAAAATTTAGAGACTAATTAAAAAAATGTCCTTGGTAATTCCAAGTATAAAATTTAGTTGTAAGCCTGGCAAACAGTTTTGGAGAATTTAATGTTTCCCTATTCAAAAAGAGAAAGGTACTTGCATGCCAGAGAGTGGCCACCGAGTGAAATGACTTGCCTCAAAGGGACTTTGGAATGAAGGCACCAGCAACTCTCACTTCACTAACGTTTGGGGGTAGCACATTTATTTAGAATTTATTTTGCATTAAACAATTTGATTACATGCCAGAATCAAGAATTTTAACAAGACAACAAAATGAATCAAATAATGACTAAACATTTTTACCTAACAACTTTATTTCTATGAATAACTTCTGTCTACATGTTGAAAGCCACTCTACTAGATATTCAGGAACAGGTTAGTACATTTTCTGAATGTAGTTTTTTTGCTTAATATACCTACATCTACATATCACTAAAGTACGCTTTTGCAGTACAAAGAACCTTTTTTATTTACTTATATAGAGAACCTTTCAGTTTTCAAAGGCCAGTTCAACCTGCACTGACAGATGCTGACCAATGCACTCAACCTCCAGATTATAGTATGTCAGTTTGCAGACATTTCACAGTCCAACAAAAGGCAACTGAACATTTTCAGTCAGCAAAAATGATTGCTGGCCAATGCTAATAGATGCTAACAAAGATTGATCTGACTATTGCTGTTTGTCAGCATCTATCTATACAGTGCAGTTGGTAAAAATGACTGACGAATGCCATCAAGAATGGCACACTGATATGACCAAACCTGATAGTGTTTGATGTTGTTGGTCAGCATCTGCTGTTGTAGTGTAAATTTGATAATTGGGTTTAGGTTGCTTTGTTACTTCAAATTTACTCAGATGTTCTAATGATAAGACCAAAAATATGAAAATATTAGTGTCCATCCAACTATTTTTATGCACATTTGGAACATCACATCAAAAATGCTTAATGTACAAGTTAACAAAGATGTGCATACATTAAAAAATAAACATAAGAATGTACTGTATTTGCACTACTGAGTAGGATAAACCTTTTATCCAATAAAAATGAGCATAAACTATGATGTAAATGTATTGAAGAAATTCCAGAAAGCACATCGGAAAAGTCATGTGATTTTGTTTTAAATATCATCTGATAACAAAAATAGAGACAGCATGGACAAACCAACGGACCACATTGTAAAACATCTAAAAAAGTTTTGGTCATTCAAAAATGCATTAGCTAAAGTCTGTCATCAAAGTGGTTCATTATTATTACCTTACCTGCAAACCTGATTTTGCCAAGTAGGACATGTTCCTGAATTAACATCTATGTTGATCCTAGAACAACATTCCAATCAACCAATCACAAATAAGGGACACATTTACAGTTTATGTTTAGGCTTATAGTTTGGTTGATGTAGTTCAAAATGAACCAGCTAGTTTCCAACTATTATCCCCTTTTGATTTTGGGAATAATTTACAGTTATGGTTGGGTTTAGGGGTAGGGAATCAGTATGGATTACATTTTCAAACAAAAATGATGTTCCAGGATCAACATAGATGTTAATCCAGGATCTCATCGTACTTAGCAAAATCATGACCTGCATTATTACCTCCCAAAACTTCTTGAGTGGCTGTACTCTTCTCGAGTCTCTTGCACCTCTAAAAACCACAGCGCTTTCATTGAATTTCATCTTTGTCTTCTGAGATGCAAGTAATTCATTATAGAAGAGAATACTGGCTTCTCCTACTGCAGCAAATACCATTTTTCATATCTTTGGATGGAACCATAGCTACTGACTCACTCAAGAGTCTTCTGGGCTCCCGCTTGACTCTAATGAGCTGGTCTTGACAGCAACATTGCCTTAAGCTATTACAAAATTACTTAGCTTGGTCCAGGTGAGTCTAACAAGTGCTCTGCTTCTGCTCCCCAGGTTTGTGGCCCAGAATGTGATGCGTCTGCAGCGACTGGGTGTGACACACATACTGAATGTCGCAGAGGGAAACTCTTTCATGCACGTGAATACCAACGCAGAGTTCTACGCAGGAACTGGGATCACGTACCATGGCATACAGGCCAATGACACTGAGCAGTTCAACATCAGTGCCTTCTTTGAGGAAGCAGCAGACTTCATAGACAAGGCACTGGCACATGGGAAAGGTTGGCTGATCTTTTTGCTTTTGTTCCTAAATCAAATATCCATTCACAGACAAAAAATATTCAAAGATATTAAAAAATATCCAAAACAGGCTCATTCTGAAAATGTAGCCCTATATACATTTCTGGAGATCGCAAATTATGTAGCCAGAAGTATGTATGGATTGCTTTTTAAAACACTATTGTTTGGTTTTAGGGAAGTAGGTGGGCAGGTCAACACAGCGTGAGAACAGCAAGCGCAAATGGCACTTGCAAGAGAAATTTGAGATCTTAAAAAGCATACACAGCAGCTTCTGGTGGAGTTGCAAAAACAAAAACTGCAAAAAAAATAAATAAAACATACCTTCTGGGACGTATTTGGCACATGTTAGAAATGTATATAGTGGTTGTTTTCAGAATGAGCCTTAGTTAATAATATCTGAAATATCTGTCCTTTACAAGTAACACAGATTCATAATAAGTCATGAAGTATTATTTGGGCCATATCTTTAAAGAGATAGAATGGAAATTGGGCTGTGGTTTTCATAGCTTGACCTTTCTTTAACAAGGCAAGCTACTTATTTTTTTTACTACAACACCATTTTCCTTATGCCAGCTTTATTAAATTCATTCCTTTTTAATGCTTAGCTTGCACAAACAACAAACACATGTCAGGATATAAAAACAAATACAGGGGATTAACTGAAATGCTATACATGCATGTATCCATGAACAATAATGTATGCCAAAATGGATCTGGTCGCCCCAACACAATTTTATCCCTAGATATCTCACACTAGTCGTTTTAATAGGTGCATTTAAACCTATCTTTTATGGCACAGATTTAATGCCATCTCTAACACAGAGGAGCAATTATAAAGCATCTTAATTGCAAGTCATCTTGGCAGCAGGAGCCCAGTAAGCGGTAAATCAGACGCCAAGCCTGGGTCGAGGGAGGACACTAATCTTTTCAGCGAGAGCTTAAGCTGAAACAAAACCTCTAGAATATATGCTGCCACTTCACAGCCTGGCTGAGCTCAGCTGTGACATTTGCGACAGCCGTGCTTACAGTGGGCTTGATGTCATCTGGTGAATTTGCAGGCTGAATCACAATGAGCAGTGGGAGGGATGAAGGTCTGAGTGCTCCCGCTGCCTCTGAGTCACACTGAATCTGTTTTAAAAAGATGCTCTGCATACGGATGGGTCACGATGGCTGATATGTCGACTGGTTTTAGATGTATTCTTCTATTCTTCTTTTAATTTAAATCTCCACTGTGGAGGATTTGAAATGAATATTTCTACTACAAGGACCTAAAGTTTTTGAGACATTCGTTATTATTTTGAGCAATATGGTTGGATTTAGCTGAAAAAGCCCAATTTAAGTATCAATGGAATTTCATTTCAATTTGATGTTTTAATCAAATCTAAAGCTTAAAGTAAGGCTAAAGTTCAGGTTATAGTTTGGATTGTAACATGTCATTAAAGTTTTTGTGTTCTTTTGTTAAAATCCCTTTTGACACATCTTAAAAGGGTATATGTTAACACAGACCAAGTTTTTATGTTATAAAACGTGAGAAGAAGGGTTGTGGAATGAAAGAAAAAAGTTTAGGAAAATTTTTTTATAATCTTTAGCTGCATTATGTAAAAAAATTCTGGGATAATTTTCCTCTCTTGATTTGATATCTAGAGAATCACCTGTTAGCCAAAAGAATCCACCAACAGTACACTGATTTGTCTACATTGATATTGGGTTGTCGTAACCCAAAGTTGGCTTAATTTTTTATATTAAATTTAATTAACACATTTGAACCCATCTGCTGCATTTGTCTGTAGCCCCTTTCACACAGTCATATCGGTAAATATCCAGAAAATTTCCAGAATTACTTTACTCGTAAATTAAAATATTTGCTGTTCACACAGGCAAGGACGTTCCAGAATTTTTTTTTTCAGAAAAAAATCCATTCACACATCGATTCCAAAATACCAGTACATTCTGACACCATATAAGCTCTAAACGGCTGCACTTGTATTTAAAAACATAAAGGGAGTCACAAGGTTGATGGTTTTGCCAAAGAGATGGACCAAATAACTACAGAAAAAAGGTTACCGTCTGAAGGCAGAGGTGCTAAACACAGCTAAAAACGTTCGAGGTTACTAAAGTAACCCTTCGTTCCCCGAGGAGGGGAACGGAAGCACTATAAGTGGATTTGATTGTAAAATCCACGCATTGGGGAGGTTCGGTTCAGAAGCTACTCGTCTGAAAGAGTATTGAACGGGCCAATTAAGAATGAATTGGCAGCGCAAGCCTGCGCAGGTGAGCGGCATAAGCAATCAACTGAGTATATAAGCTCACCTGGCGCCAGCAGACGCTATCCTTTTTAAGCTGAAGAGACTTTTAACAGCTAAGGGACAGTCATTATGGCGACGGAGTATAGTGCTTCCGTTCCCCTCCTCGGGGAACGAAGGGTTACTTTAGTAACCTCGAACGTTCCCCTTCGGGGGGAACTCCAGCACTATAAGTGGATTTGATTGTAAAATCCACGCATTGGGAGCCCATTGAAAGCGCCATAATGACTGCACCTTACCAACACCCCCGATGAGGAGATAGTCAAGCAAGCGTGACGCACCCACATCATGGGGGGTGCGGTCCTCCAACGTGTCCCTGGCCCTAATTTATCCTACTTCAACAGAAGTTTTACGGATTTAGATATATTTTTTGGGAAGTCGTGAGCATCTAGATAATTCTAGGAAAATACGACAGTACGTTGGGAAGCGTGCAATCCCGATAGGGAGGACGCTGCGGAGGCCATCCGTTACCCAAGGGGGGATAGATGGCAGAATTTACATATGGACTAGCCCTAAAAAGGGGGAGTACGCATAGCAAAAGAGTGGTTAGCGGGGAGGGAAGACACGGGTCCGCCCAGGGGGGGGACTTAACCGTGGCGGAATAAGCATATGGGATCGCCTAGTGGGGATCACGCATAGCAGGCGCCTTTACCCAAAACGCGGGCTGACCAGTGGGCAGACCTACAACGTAGTGGGCCAGCAAGTGACTCCTCCGCTGAGTCAGTGCTGGGGGCCACGGAGGAATCTGCAGGGCTCACCTGACGGGGAACTTTACTGACAGATAAAAAGGCGCACGTATCTCCGTGTTAGGGAAAATGGCGCAGCAAGCGTGTTTCAACACCCTACCGAATTGTCTCCTCAATCACCAAGGGTTACCTAATACCCTTGAGGAAACCGGCTCCACTCGCAGATTGTAAAACCTTGCAAATGTGTTGGGTGTCACCCAGCCCGCAGCTCTACAGATGTCTGTAAGAGGGGCGCCGCGTGCGCGCACTCGAGAGGATGCGAAGCTCCGAGTGGAGTGCGCACGCGCTCTCGGGGGACGCGGCTCATCTCGGCTCTAATAGTGAAAGAAAGGCATCCACAATCTAGTGGGAACTTATTTCGGTACGGCACTTCCCTGCTGCCGACCGCTATAACAGACGAAGAGCTGCTCAGATGATCTAAACTCTGAGTGCGGTCCGGATAATACGCAAAACGCGAACTGGACAATAAAGAAGGGCTGGGTCTGCCTCCTCCGAGGGCAGCGCTTGCAGGCTCACTACCTCGTATTAAAACGGAGTGGTAGGAACCTTGGGCACATATCGCGGGCGGGGTCTCAGGACGTGAGAGAAGCCAGCCCAATTATAGGCACGAGTCACTGACCGAAAAATGCCTCCGGGTCCCCGACCCTCTAATCGATATCAACGCGACCAGCAGAGCTGTCTTCAGGGACAGAAAGATACTGAGTCGAGGATCGAAGGGATCTGATGCGGCTTGTGTAGCGAGGGCGAGATCCTAAGAGGGCATGAGAGGGGGCGGGGTGGATTAATTCGCTTAACGCCCCTGAGGAACCGGATGATGAGGTTATGCGTTCCCACGGTGCTGCCAGCCACCGCGTTATGAGAGCGGAGATGGCAGCCACGTAACCTTGAGTGTGGAGGGCGACAGCCTGCTCTCCAACTTCTCTCGGCGTTAAGAAAGCACAACGCTGATCTGGCAAATACGGGGGTCTTCTCAGCGAGAGACACACCATTCAGTGAATAGACTCCACGTCAGGGCATAGGCGCGCTCGGGGAGGGGGCTCTAGCCCGAGTGACGGTATTAGCCACCGCAATCGGAGGTTACCTAAGTCTTCCTCGCATCTAAAAATCTCCAAAGATCGGCGAGGGTGCCAGGTGGTGCCCTGTCCCTGAGAGAGTAGGTGCTCTCTCGAAGGGACTGCCAGGGGAGGGCTATCGCGAGGGAGAGCTCTGACATCCAGGTCCGGTTGAGCCAGAGGGGCGCAACCAGCAACCTGTTCCTCGTCCTCCCTGACCTTGCACAGTAACTGCGCGAGCAGGCTCACTGGGGGAAAACGTGTATTTGCGCGTGCCCCGAGGCCAGCTGTAAGCCAGTGCATCCGTGCCGAGAGCACTCGGTCAGGGAAAGAACAACTGGCAATGAGCGATCTCGGGGGAAGCAACAGATCGATCTGGGCTTCCCCGAATCGCGCCCATATCAGCTGAACAGACTCGGGGTGGAGTCTCCATTCTCCAGGACGCAAGGCTGCCGTGAGAGCGCATCGGCTGCACGGTTGAGCTTGCCTGAATATGAATGGCGTGCAGCGATTTCAGCCGCGGATGACTCCAGAGGAGCAGACGGCGGGCGAGCTGAGACATGCGGCGAGAGCGCATACCCCCTATACGGCTGATATACGCCACCGCCGCCGTACTGTCCGTCCTGACCAGCACGTGTTGCCGCTCCAGCACCGGAAAAAAACGGTGGAGAGCGAGGAACACTGCCAACAGCTCCAGGCGATATGCCAATGCAACTGGGTACCTTTCCACAGGTCCGCAGCCGCATGCCCGCAACGCACAGCCCCCCAGCCCGTGTTGGAAGCGTCTGCTGAAACGACAACAAGACTGGACGCCTGTTCTAGAGACACCCAGGCCTGTAGGAACGAGGGGTCGCTCCAAGGGCTGAGGGCGCGGCGACAC